ATAAAGTGGAACTTTTGGAGTTTATTATATATTTTTTAAGTGAATGATGATTCATATCAAATTGCTGTATTTTTTATTCCATCAGATCCATTTAAGAGAGATGTAAAAGCTTTATTTAAAACGTCAATATTCAATGTTAAGGAGGGTTTAAAATGTGAGGGACAAGTGTCCTAGATTTAAAAAGGCTGAACCAAATGCACAGGTGGTCCTGGCTTGGAAAAAGCAACTGGAAGAGCTATTTTTGGAACAAGAGGAAAATTTAAATACGGATGGTACTCGATACCATGAAATTTCATATGGAAAAGAGGAGTTATGAACGGAATAAAGCAACTTACAGCATGTTCTCATTTTGGTTTAAAATACCTAACTGTGTATTCACACACAGCAAATACCTGGAAGGATATAAATATAAATACTTGCATACCAAATGTACCCATACATGGAGATGATAGTGGTAATCTCTGAGAGGCTGGAATACGGTATTTTTATTTCATTTTTGTTTATCTATTTTTTCTAATGAATATGTACTATGTCACAAAAATAGGGAAAAATTTAAAAGTAACATCAGTATTTTTATTAAACCAGAAATTAAAACTTCTGTAACTGTTTGCTCTGCGACTTAAGTGTGTGAAATAAGCACATGTGAAATAATGACTCTGAGGATGGTTTGACTTTTCACTTTTATTTTATGAAGCATTTAAAACAAACTTTACTTTCAAACATATGGAGTTCTAAACATAAAGCTTCATGATAAAAACTGAAATGACCACAGACACCAAGGAACAAAGCAAAAAAAGTCCAGATTTATAAGAATATTTTGAAACGGCACCCAATTTTACAGTTTAAAACAGCAATAGTACGCCCTCAGCATTTAAATATTATTCCTCATTAACTGAAAAATAAAACAACCTTTAGATAAAAAGTTAAGGCATTTAGAGAAATACCTAAAACATTTGTACTCTTACTATCTATCAGTGTTAAATGCTTTACAGATATTTTTTAATCTTCACAACTCTCCTTGGAAAGCGTCATTCTCTCTATTTCATTGATGAGAAAATCAAGATTTAAAGAACTGTATCCAGACTACACAAAGAAACTCCTACTTGGTAATCATTTCCCAAAAATACACATAGCAAACCATTATGCTATATACCTAAAACTAATACCATGTTATATGTCAATTATATCTCAATTTAAAACATAAAAACACTCCTACAAACTGATTTAAAAAAGAGAAGACAACCCAATAGAAAAATGGCAAGAGACAAGCAATTCAAAAAGATACGAAAACAACCAATAAACACGTGACAAGATCAGAATTCTGCCATAAGGGAAATGCAAAATTACAGACAAACCTCTACACACCCACTAGAATGGCTAAAACTTAAGAATAACAATTCTAAGGACTGGAAAAGAACATTCCAGGTGATAAATTTAGCATGAGCTAAGGCAAGAGTACTGAAGCTGGCCCAAGTGTTCACATGAGTCAATAATGGGTAGCTCAGCTTGGAACGGCACAGACAGGTCAATGATAAAAAAGGAATTCTGGAAAAGTAGGTAGGAATCAGATCTTGGAGGGCCTTCAAGGCCAAGACAAAGACTTTAACCTATATCTGATTAGCAACGCAGAACCATGACATGGATGACACAAATTATTTGAGCTTTAGGGTATATAAAAGGATGCTTTATATAGAATGTTCCAAAGGAAGAAGGACACAGAAACTTCAAAAACTTGCTATCTCCTACCCTGCATTAAATTTCTCTATCCTCCACAATCTGGTTTTACCCTCACTGCTCAACCGCCTTCGTCCAAAATCTCCATCTGCACCCTCCCCTCAAGTCACCTTCCTTGTTTTTACTCACCACCAGGTGAGCTCTTCACAGTCAGACCATCACCTGCAATGCTCTCCTGCTTTCCCGAGGCCTCTCTCCATCTAAATCCAGCGCATTCTGGAGGCCCAGATGATGTCTGTTCGTCCACTCCCTGATCTCTTTGCCTACTCCAGCCTGCCCTCGTCTCCTCCTGAGTCCCTAAGGTTCCTATGCAGGTTCTCTACTGCATAATTTCAACAGCTAACTAGAAGCCTCGTTTTGTTCTTGACTCTCCACACGACCATAAATTCCTGGATAGAAGGGATCACTTTTGTAGCCCCCCAGCACCTCCTATCAAAGGCTATACACTAGCTAGTTGTTAGTTCCTCTTGATAACAGAAATGCAGACGTGCCCTTTGATCCAGCAATTCCCTTTCCAGAAATGGAGCCTGATATACTCAAATAGGCAGAAATATTATGACCAAAGATATGCACTGTAGTTTATAACAATAAAAACTAGAAATAATCTAAATGTCTATTAATAAAGACTATTTCATTTGAGATCATACTGCCCATTAAAAAAACAAAATTGGAATACATGTACATATGGACCATAACAAATAAGTAAGTGAAATAAGTAAGTGAAAAAAGTTGCAGAGAAGGGTGTAAAATAGGTCCTATTTCATTTACTTATTTGCATATACACACACCTTAGAAGAACACAGTTTTAGAATGGTAATCTCTGGGAAGTAGGATGGACTTTCTACTTGAGAAACATTTCTATTTTGCTTGAAAAAACTGAACAAAGAGAACAATGTTCATAGTAAAAAATATATATTTTCACTCACTGCCTCAAGAGTAATTTAGAAAACAATTTATAGCATGAATCCATTTTGTTTAAAACAAGAGCAACAATATACTGGCATATATACCAAAATAAGCATTTAGAACTTATGCCAAAAGTTATTTCCAGAAGAGGGATTACAGGAAACTTCCACATTCTAGGCGAGACAATAGTTTTTCCTTAAATAATAAGCACTTACTTTAGTTACAAAAAGCAGAGATTTTTTTTAAATCGTCTCTCTGAGCTAGATCATCCCAGAGAGAGAAGCATTTTGGTCTGCCTGGCAATCCTGAAGAGAACCAGCTGAACTGTTAGACTGTCCACTATAGTAAATCTGAGTAAACATTTAGGTCCATCATGCCTACAAATTAAATTTACGGAAGTTATTAACAGAAAAACGACTTCTCTGCTAGATAAGTATGAAATGTCTGTGTGAGGAAGGTAATCTCTCTAACATACAGTTAACCTCTAATACTGACTGAATTACTATCAAGGGCAGGACACTGCACTGGTCCCTCACAATACATGGCTGTTTTTAAATCTCTCTTACACATCTAGAGTCAACCATAAACTTGCCTGGGCCCCTCGTTTCAAGACCAGTGCTGGAGAGGAGAGAGGAATCTTTACAGGCTTTTATGCTGAAGAAGAGGAAGAAACTATGAGAAGCACTGAATCACACAGAAGCCCCCAGGGGAGCACTGGGTTCTGGCTCATCTCAGTGGATCTGTGCTTCTATGGGGTATCACAGCTCTTCTGCGTCCCCTATATGCCCTGCTCCAGTGCGGGGCTTACAGAGGTCTGACTTGAGGTGCCACAGCCTTCTCCACCAAGCCTCTGATAAAAACAGAGGGAGCAGAGCTGTCTGTCTTTACTACAGTCTACTGCCTCAAACCTCTTCCATCTCAGCATTGACCCTGAAACCCAACTGCCTTTTTGTTTTCCCTTTAGACTTACTGCCCAATATAACAGCTTATCACTACTGACACTAAGGGCTTTACGTTTATTACAACTCTTTTATATTCACAACAACCCTGTGACGTATTCCTACTTTACAGATGAAGCAGTTGAAAAACAAGGTCAGGTAACTATGTGGCAAAGCTAGGACTTAAACCCAGAGTCTGATTCCTGGGTCTAAACTCTACTATATAGCACTCATGCTCTTCAACCTAGAAAACACCAGAAATCTTTAGTCAGTAAAGCGCTTAGGTTTTAGCAACAAATCCGAAAGTCAACAGGCCACCGGGATCAAATGTTACTCTTGGAAACGCTGTTCATCCGGCTATTATTGGATAACTGAACACTATGAAATTTACTTTGCAAAATGTCTATGTTTGCCAATGCTTTTCTGAACTTTTGAAATGCTGTTTACAGTAATAACTAAACACCCAACCTTTTAACCAAGTCAAACATATCCGGGTTCAGATTCTCGTTCTGTCTCTGTTTTCCTTCACCTGTAAATAAGCTATAAAGGTGTATGAAAACAACTTAGGATAATGAATGGAGAGTAAAGAGTCAAAAATCTCTACTTCCATTCTTTAATTGCTTTACCATCAACACTCCCACGATGTGGGAAAACTGACAAGTTCAAATCAAATTGAGTACCCTAAACAAAACCCATGAATTCATGTGTTTACAGAAAACAACTTGAAATATTAAGAAATTATGCATTGTTTAAATTTATGACCTAATAAACTAGTTCTACACAACATACACACAATAAAAACTGGTAAACAATATATTTAATGTTATGGAATTATCACACAAGTCAACTGCTACACATGAGAATGAATCTTACTAACTAGCCTCAGAAAAACTCATTCCTTCCATCTATTTCCATGTGAATTACAACAATTTGAAACTGTAAAACAAAAATCCTTGAGTGTTGTATCTTTAAAACGTTTTATATGGCCATTTACTAATCTTTTATTGGAAAATCTTGGGCCGTTTGAACGGATTAAAAATGCACAATGGACAGGGAATAACGACCGATCTTTACCCCTTCGGTGCCTACTGTTCTGCTGTGTTGGAGATTAGACGGCAGTTGGAGGCCTGACAGTTAATATTACAGGTCGTCCTGACTCCTCCAGGTGGAATGCATACAATATATCCAGTCACTTCGTCCTCACAACTCCATATGGCAAGGACTGATATCTAGTCCCGTTTTGTCCAGAGTAGGACACTGAAGCACAAGAGAGGTGGAGTAATACACCTAAGGGCTCAGAGCAGGGCAACCCGAGGCCGACTGTAAACCATCCTGGGTCTACGGTCCAGCCCTGATAAGTGTTCAGGGCTCTGGGGAGGGGCACGTCAGTGACACTGTAAAACGTGGAAGGAGATACAATACCAGTGGGAAGCAGAGGTTCCAGCGGGGTAAAGGCATGCTCCATATCGGATCACTCGCCTCTGCATTAAAAAAAATTAAAATGCCAGTTAGAATTTTTCCTAGCTAATTAAACAGCGCGCGAACTCGCCAGAACATCGGGCCGCTCTGATGCAATGCTCGGGGCAGCGTGCCCGGGGCGGACCTCAGAACGAGCGGTGGCGCTCGGCCTCCAAGCCCGGGTACGGCTCGCCGGTGGCGCCACGGCCGGGGGGAACGACGCCACGGGATTCCGGGCCGCCCAGCCAGCCTCTCCCACTGCATCCGTCACCATCCGGGGACTCTGGGGCAGCGAGAGGCGGCCACCCCCTCCCCGCGCTCCCGCCGCCTCCCCCGGCCCGCGCGCCGAGGACGCGGACAGCCCGCCGGGCGGCAGTCGCACTTACACAACGGCGGGTGGAGCCCCCGGGGAGCGGAGCGCAGGCCGCGGGAGCGAGGGCGATCGACCGCTCGGCGCTCGGCTGCGACGCCTCAGGGAGCGCGCGCGGCCGGCGCTCGCAGCTTTAAGTAGAGGACGAGCGAGGCGGCCCCGCCTCCTTCCGAGAGCCCCGCCTGGGCCGCGGGGCCCCGGGGCCACGTCCGCCTGCCGGCCGCCGCTTCCTTCCTCCCTGAGTGCTAGGCTAGCTCTCCCCTCCAACCGGCCCGGCCGTTTCTGCCGAGCGCTCTTCTCGGAACTTTAGTAAGGAAGCCGCTATTTGCTCAAAACCGAGCAGCAGATGCCCCATCACCCTTCTTCAGCCTGGCTGCAGAGCCAAGCAAACTTCCCCGGTTTTCCAGAGCCCTTTTCTCGGTCCCCATGCTGGCTGATCACTCGCGTGCTGCAGGATCCTTACTGAACCCGCCTTCGTTAGGGTCTGCTCTTCTTTCCCTTGGTGGAAACAAGCATAGAAGTTTTTGTTGGAGGAAACTTGAAGCCGTTTGCATGCAGCCCCACTCGCTGCAGCGCTCCCAAGATGAAGAGCGCATTCGGTTGCCATGCAACCTTTTCCAAGACTGAGCAAGCCTAAGCTCCGGAAAAGTTCTTTCTTTAGGCTAAAATCCCCTCCCTGTACCTACCACTGCCCACCCCCTCCTCCGGACCGTCATGTGGAGAGATCTCTGGTCCTCACAACCCTCTTAAGCGGGGTTGTAGAGAGTTACACTTCCTAGGCATTACCTTTTCTACGCTAAACTCAGTTCCCTCAAGGTTCTTGTATGATGTGATTTCAGACTCTACCGTCCTGGTTCCCATTCTCCGTATTTAATGTTCCTGTAAATCGTGGTTCCAAGAACTGGTGAGAAGAGCACCGCTCTCCACGTAACAGTTCGTGCAAACCCCTGCATAAGAGACTTGTCCCAATTCCAGCATGACTTCTAGCAGCATACGGCGTGTCCCTAGGATGACCCCACCCCTGCAGTAAAATGCCCGCCTGAGAAAGCTCAAGGCTGCCAGGAGAATTTACTGTCTGTCCTAGCCAACACCTGATGATATGCCTTGACCTCACAAAGGGCTTAAAGTTGTGAATATGTATCTCTTGTAACTCAGAAGTGTCCCTTTCTCAGGGACAGGAGAGCCATTCCTTTGAATGCAGTCATCAGAAAGGATGGGGCCTGTCTCCCAGTCTCTGTGGGAGGATAGAATCCTGGCTTCCATAGCTGCCAGCTATCGAACAGAGCTGTGCTAATGCCGTTCACACTGACCAACCCGTTGTCATTTCTCACTTCTCTGACTGTGCTGAGCCCCCATCTTCCCCTTCCCTTATGTTCCCTTTAAAACATCCAGATCACCTCTGCACAAATCAGAATGGAGCTCAGTTCTTTCTCTTGCCAGTAGTTACTGAATAAAATCTGTTTTCACCACTTTAACTAATATCTGGCTATTTATCTTTGACACTGGTCACCATGTTCTAGGGGTGATGGAACCATAGAAGAGTACAATGTTGCCTGTGCTTGTTAACTTTTCCAGCTGTCGGATCAAATAGAACTTCCAGATGTTTTTCTCATTAGCCACCCTTAAGCTAAGCGTATACGTATCTCATACTCAATTTTAGACCAAACTGCTAGGGACTTCACATTTATATTTGTAAAATTAAATATTATGAGTTTGTGATCACAGTTGCCACAGGCATGACATTTCAACGATGTCACCCACTAGCTTTGGGCATTGGGACTCTACCTCAGTTCCCGCAGGTATAAAACGGGAACGATGTTGCCGACTTTGGAAGGGGTCTGTGAGGATCAAATGACTTGATGTGGACAGACACCCGGCCCGGTGCCTAGCATATATAGGTTTGCAACAAACGTTTGTGGCTCTCCATCAATATGGTATCCCACGTATGCCTTGATGACATCACTGTTGGTAGCATACATCCTTGCAAAGTTTTTATGTGTAATCTAGATAAAGTTTCTCCCAAAGTCATTAAGAAGAAAATGGAAATATTTAACCACAATAAATTTCAAAAGTGCACGTTTAAAGATGCCACTAGTAAAACTAAAAGACAACAAACTGGAGGTGGAGGGTGAATATTTGAACATGTAACAGACAAGTGGTTGCCATATCTATATCATATGAAGAACTACAAACCCATCAGTAAAAGGCAAACAAACCAGTAAAATGGTCTCCAAGCATATATATGTCCGAGCAAATTACAGGAGATATTCAAATGGCAAATAAACGTGAAAAACATAACATCACTAGCATTCTGAGAAACAAACTTGAACAATGAGATAAATTTACTTGCCAGACTGCGAACTACTTTTAAATAATAATACAAATTTACATTTATTGAACAATTATTTTGTTCCAGTCACTGTGTTGAGGTCTTTTATATTTTATTTAATTACCCTAAAATGTGGGCTCCGAGAGAACAAGGATCAAATTTTAAATCTTTACCTTTAAACCCTCACACTCTAGCAGAGTTACTGGCAAAGAGCAAGCAATCAATGTGTATTTATTGATTGTTCATAATGAAATTGTTTGCAGAATCCTGGAATGCTACTCCTCCAGTTCTTCTCCAGGCTCATCCATCAAGGCTCAGCACAAAACTGACTTCCTTCCCCTGGTCACTCCTGCTTTCATCTAGGATTGTTTTCCTGCATAGCCATACTCACAATCTGTAGTTATTTAACTTACTTGTTTATGACTTGTCTCCTCCGACTAGCTCCCTAAGAGTGGGAACCATATCTGTTTTGTTCCTGGCTATTTCTCCAGCCCAACAGGACACCTACCCACAGTAGACTCAATTAAATATTTGTTAAATGGATTAATAAAGGGTGGGGAAAAATGGAAAATTATAGTACATCATACCAAGAATTTGGTAAAAGAATAAGCTAAATCAATATGCCCTCATGTGGAAAAATGTCCAGGAGAGAGTAAATTTTACAACTGCAAATGGTAGAATAACCCCACTTATATTTTTAAATGTATTTGGATATCCATGGAGAATTGTTAAAAGTGAACTCTCAGAAAAATGGATGGAGTACATAGGAGGCCACAGATGAGGGAAATGTTACTTTTTATTCCATACAATTCGTATTTTATTGTATAATACTTTTGCAATAAGCATATTAAAGAAATTTAAGTCAAGTTTGCAAAAATGTATATTAAAAAAAAATTAATGAGTCATTGTTAACCCTTAGCATATTTTGGGCTTCCAGAGAAGGCAACACACATACAGACATGGTTCAATTTTCAGAGGAAAGATCCCATAGCTTCAACCAAATTTCCAATGATTCTGTGACCTCAAAATCTTCTATGGGGTAGGAAGGAACTCCCACTAGTAAGTTAAGTAGTTTTCTCCAGGATGGAAAGATGGCTCTCCCATCCTACTCACTAGTTATCTTCCACTGTGCCCCCTTTTTCTTGAACTGGTGGAGTTCAAAACAGGCATATTGTTGCAAAAAGTTCTGTAATAAAAATGTTTTTCAGTGAAATAAGTTTTGAAAACACTGCATACTATCACCCACCTCCTTTGAGACTGATAACACATTATCCATCTTTAAACATTTCATAAAGACCAGAAGTAAAGAACCTGTTTAGCTCCAAACCCAGAATGTCTCAAAGACACTGGAGCACGTGACACTGTTTTCTTGGCATCTCTTTTACAATTTTGCAGAACAGTGTTGCTCCAAACAAGTGTTGGGGAAAAGCTACCAGAAACTACGAGCCCTGGCGCTCAATTCTCTTTGCTGCAACAGCTGTTCCTCCTATACTGCCACTAAGTGGTCTTGGAGTTTCCAGTCTTCTGTCAGTTTCCATCAGCTCATCCACTTCAGGGTCTTTTTGTTCAGAAAATCAAATTATTCTCTCAATTTCAAAATGCATGTCTATTATGATCTCGCTTTAACAGCTGAAGCAGTATTTCTAGCTGCCTTTAGGATATTTCCACTTAAATATTTCACCATCACCTCTGATTCAAGTGGTTAAAACTGAAATCATTCATTTATGCCTCTCCCAGAGTCTCCATTTCTTTCCTTGGTATCATTACTCTTTTGCACTCCTTGATAAATAATTTTAATTTGCCTTATCTTTCATTCCATAAACTTGGCAAGTTGCCAGCTTTTGTCCTATTGCTCATTTGTTCCAGCCTGTTCATGTCAATTTGGATCAAGATTCTGTTATCCTTGTCATTTCCTCTCATCCATCAATCAAAATTCTCATTATTTTAAAACCTATCTGAAGTATCATCTTCTCTGAAAATCCTTCCTTGAGTTTCACTCAAGCCCCTCACAATTAATCTCATTTTTCTCTGTAATCTCGTTACATTCTTTTATGCTTCTCTTATAGACCTTTCCACAGTCTGATATAGAATGCTTCATTTTAAATGTATGCTACCTTGTGGTCCAAGAAGGCTGCTTGAGCTCCAGCCTTCACCCGTCCATTTAAAGCATTAGGAAGGAAGAACGGCAAAGAAGATATACCACCTACCTTATAAAAAGATGTCAAAGACAGGGGCCGGCCCGGTGGCACAGGGCTGGTTAAGTTTGCGGGCCCTGCTTTGGTGGCCTGGGATTCTCCAGTTTGGATCCCAGGTGCAGACCTACGCATTGCTTATCAAGCCATGATGTGGAAGGCATCCCACATATAAAGTAGAGGAAGATGGGCACAGATGTTAGCTCAGGGCCAGTCTTCCTCAGCAAAAAGAGGAGGATTGGCAGCAGATGTTAGCTCAGGGCTAATCTTCCTCAATAAAAGAAAAGACAAGATGTGGAAGACAAAATGCACCCAACAATTAAGGAGATGACTTTATTCAGGCTATTGCAAAAAAGGAGCACACCCTAGATCCTAAGATCTGAGTGTCTCCATGGTGTGGTTTGCCTTAGATTTTATAGGGCATCATAGGCAAGTCTCAGATGGGGTAATTCACAGTTTTTACAATCAAGGGAAATCTCAGTCAGCTGAACAGAAAATGTGTAATGTGTTTAGCTATTTTCAGGCAGACAAACATTTCTAATATCAGCTAACCATTCATGGGACAAAGAAGGGTGAGTTGGATATATTTCAAACTAATATAATGTTTCATGGCAATTGTATCTCAATTATAAAAAAGAAAGAATGGGGAGTTGCAGGGACTATCTGGCCTCCTCAGAGGTCCAGGCTATCTGAGGGGCTCATGGAGTCATGAGAAAGTGTGCACGGAGTCTTACTGAAGTCATGCAGGGCAGGGTGGTTCTATGAGGTAATCCCTTTCCTGGAACACAAACAGGTGGGGGAATTTCTCAGTCATCACTGTTGTCCCGAGCACAGGCTCAGGTGAAGTTCAGCATCGTCAGAGGCGTCCTCAAAGTCTCACACAGTACATTTGCCCAAACCTAATTGGCCAGCACTTAATCACGTGACTCCATCTAGCTTTAAGGGCGGCTGGAAAATGTAATCTGTTCGATAAGATGGGGTGGTGGAGATAAAAATGGATTCTATTACTAAACAGGAATGTGCTGGAGTCCAGCTCCAGCCAGTAGGTTTTCCTGAGGGATGA